GGTGCCCGCGCGGGACACGCCGGGGTGGGCGCAGCCCCCGCACGCGGCCACCGCTGCCCGGCCGCCTCTGGCCCCCGATCCTGCTGGAGGAAAAGACAAAAGAGACACAAAAAGGCGGGACCCATCTTCCATCTCCCGTTTAGTTTTACAGCAGTCGCTCGGTTTCCGCTCTTTGAACCCTTGACCATCGTGGCTGAGGAGCACGAGCGAGGTCCTTATAAAAACACCACGTCCAACGCACGAGGAGGAGGCTTCGCCTCAAGCCCTGCGTCTTCACGCCCAGAAAAACGCCACGCCAGCCCCCAGGGCAGGGGCAGAAACACAGAACCGAATGGAGTTGTAATGCTGGTAAGAAGACATGGAAACAGATGTCCTGCAGCTGTAGGTTTCTCCCAGGTCGGAGGGAAAAAAAAAAAAAAAAAAGGCAGCAGTTTTCTGTGTGTTTGTTTCAAAAAATCACTCGGCTGGGTGGTCTCTGGTGACCCAGGTCTGCGTTCGGGGCTTGCCTCCTCTCCTGCAGATGGCCAGTGAAAACGGACAGGGCAAATCCAAGTACAGTTTGCACAGCAGCATCAAAAATTAACGTTTCCTAAGGCTTCACGTTAGCCTGGTGTTAACATCACCACACGGCTCCTGGCCGGCCCCAGTTGTCTCCTAGGCAAGGAGCAAGCACACTGGTGTTTCAACTTGCCCGTCATCCCAGGCGAAGCTCTGCAGAGCAGCAGCACTCTGCTCATGTTCCACAGTTGGTGTCCACCGTACGTTTTCGTCCGCTAGCAACTTACTCATCCTGTATATCAAAGTCTGTAAAGACTCCAGATGCTCTCCTCTAGTAATAACTAATGTCCATAACTCCCCCAGCCCTAAGGGCATGACACACTTTAATGTGAGATTTCCAGTGTATATTTCAAGTAAAATGTCAGCTAAGACAATTAAAAGACAATTAAGGTCTGCCTGAAGCAAACACTGTTAGAAGTCTTCTAACTTGGTAAGTAAAGTTCAGAGTTGAAGCAGAAAGAAACCTGTGCAGGGCACAAACATCTCCATTTATCCTCAGGACATAAATAAATATAACCATAAAACTTCTCCCAGGTTGCACAAAGGACCTACGTTTGTAGTGGTTACAAAAAATACTCTCTCTAGATGTGTAACAGCAGATTAATGGTATGTCAGTGCTCATTGAAGGAGTAGGTCACAGGTTAATGTGCTTTAGGCAAGGGAAACATCCCACAAGGTTCTTCCCTGCTAGTGATTCATTGTATCTCACATTGCATATTAAGCAGGAATCTATTGCTTCCCACAAGCATCACCCCTTCAATTAGTCATACTTTTCTGTAAAAAGACAGACTCCAGGCTAGATCATAAAGCAACCTTTCCAGCACAAATCCTTTCATAAAGGCATTCATCCAGTGGAACATATTTCCCCAATTTTAGATCCAGAAAATATAACCGATCTGATGTTTGATGGGGGTCAAATCCTTCCCTCCGCAAGCGAGTTTTCTGGATCTTAAATGTACCTTCAAGGGTGGAAAAAAAAATAATTACAAGTATTTAGCATCAAAAAACCTGTTTAACAGTGAAGAAGAGACATCCTGGCTGGCATTTCATTTCTAGTTTATAGTTTTGTCTGAGAATTAGCAAGTTATTGAAGCTTGTAACTAAATGCGTTGTTATTCAGTTATATGACGTTTGTGCAATTTTTACTTCTTCTTACACATAGGTTGTTAAAAGGACTGCCTGGATTCCTGGGAAATGGAAAACAAAACAAAAAGCAGCCAAATTATTAGCTGTTTTAGTGGTTGCTGTGACTGTTAGGCGTACTGTAAGAAAGCTTAAGAGCATGTGTATGTAGGGTGACTAGAATAAGTCCAAACAATAGGCATGTGAAAGAGTTGAAGAAGTCAAGAGCTTCTCTGTAGGCATTTGTTCAACAGCAGTTGGTGCATACCCTCTCAGTTACTTCACAAATAGCCAGATATTATTCCCAAGAGCTTCACTGTTGGGCAAAAGGCTCCAGTTGTACATATAGCTTGCACACACTGGCACAGATCTCACAGAAGTATTCCAAAGGATAAAGGTGTTTTGTTTGTTTGTTTTTGTTTATTTTTTCCTGTAAAGGTCTTCTCTATTAATGACTTGGAACTAGCTAACTTCTTGTTTAAGACTCATCTACAGTCATTTTTATTAATGGTGAATACGTGCCTGGTGCACTAGAAGCTGTGCTATGCGTTTCAGGGATTGCATTACGAAATCCCTGAAAGAGCACAGGACAGCAACCAATCAACTCCAGTCAAAACAAAGTGCCTAGTACAAGTTTCTCAGCTTTTTGCAACACAACATTGACTCTTTTCAGTTTCCTTTTGGATCTCAACATTTCTAGAGCTGTTAAGAGAATAGTTTACATATGAAACACTGGTACCTGTGGTGTCAACCTGGGGTAAGAAACGGAGAAAGATGGGCCGGGCATAGGGAGGCAGCACCTTCTGTAGCTCCGGATACAAAACATTGGGATTCACTTTAGCTTTAGGATCTGCAATTGCTGCCATTCCAGCTTTTCCCTCAACCCCTGAAATAAAACAGCACAGCTTAGATGGAGATTACACACAAAAAAGGAGCAATGGTTGGGTGAGGTATGAAATATTTAACAGATCCAAGCACAGATGTTTCACCCTTTCCTCTTCACATTGAAGTAAAGCGCAACATGCTGAAGAGAACAGCAGACTAACTAAATCCATTTCCAGCACACTCCCCCCCTTAGTCTAAGGTAAAACCACAAAATATCCTTGCCCCTAAAAGCTAATGAAGATCTTGTTTTTATCAAATTTCTCACATACACCACAATGAAAATTCAGGAGACCAAACTACCATGAGAACCTCTCTGACCAACACTTGCTCAGGATAGATTTCTCCTCTCAAAGGGACACTTCCTCTTGCTCACTCCGACTTGGTTTAAACCCTTTATCTATACCCACATTGCTTGAGCTATTTATCTTTTCCAAAAGACTTGTTTTGTTATGTATTACTTCCCTATGCCAGAAACCCAGGCTTCACAAATGAGAACTTTCAGAAGCACAGCTAGGAGTCCTTCACCAGGGGAGTAGCACCCTCCAGAACAAATGACTGGCCATCCCCTCCCTGTCATCCCCTCGCACCCACCTCTGTCTCTTTCTTCCTAATCCCCCTTCCTGCATTACTTGAGCATTTAAGGGCCCAAACGCCCAGCTGTTCCTATGGAAGGATCTTCTCACACTAAGAGCTTCTGCAAAGTTCATCATAAAAGCCTTCCTTATTAAGAAACAAATAGATACATATCATACCCAAAAAGCATGAATCAGGACTGAGTTGCTCTGAACCCACAAGAGAAAAAAAAAATCTTTTGTCTAATCTCTAAATGAGATCTCTTCCTCCAAATAAAGATTCTACCTGTGGCAGCATGGATCACTAGTGGGTGTGAGGTTATTTCTACTGCTCAGAACTCCACTGTCAGTGTCTATCGTATCTTCTCATTTTGTGGTACCCAGTTTTAGGAGAGGTGACCGATTTCTACCTGTTTTGCAGTGTGATGTAAATCTTGCCTAATATTTACTCTTCTCCCTAAACCTTGAGAGTTCTGACTCTAGGTTTTACCTGGTACTTCTACTCCATACACTGCAACGTCTGTCTGGTTGAGGACGTGACTCAAAGTTCCTTCTACTTCTGTGGTAGAGACATTCTCTCCTCGCCATCGGAAGGTGTCCCCACTGCGATCTTTGAAGTACATATAACCAAGTTCATCCATCACTAACACATCTCCTGGGAGGGAGAGAGAAGACACCAAACCATCTCAGAACTCAAGTCCAGCAGCAGTCAAGACTGCCTTCCTGTCCTCTGATCTGCCATGCAGATTCAGCACTGCCTTCTTCCCAGCAAGTGACTTTTCACCTACTGTGAACTGCATCTCCATGTTACAGGACAACTGAAAAAAAAACCAAAAAAAAATACTACAACATTAAA